GTCGGTGTTGCATTTGTGTGAATGTGTGCGTGTGTGTGTATGTCTGTGCGTCGATAAATGCAAACATTTACGTATACTTTGTGTTTGTTGTTTGCCCAATTTGCAACAAGCAGCTTAATTCTTCATTTTCTGTTCATTTTGGTGCTTTTTTTTTTGGTTTCATTCATATATTATGTTATATACGTGTGTGTGATGCTTTTACTATAATTATATTTTTATTTAACTCCAGAAAGTATGACATATGTTGGGATTTGTTATTGCGTTCTTTTTTTTTTTTGTTTTTTTTTTTTCTTTACAGTAATGCCGAAAGATCTATCTCATCTCCCTTAAAAAAGTTTTAAAATACAGCTAAACATTTTATAAAGCGGAATGAGAATAGCCCTGCATCGCAAGAACGTTTTATTCTATGGCATGATTTCAAGCTCAATTAGTTTATCTTTCATGCTAAGTATTATGAAGGTAGCTGCAATTTCAACGATTGATTGACGATCTTTTCACCATCTTCCGATTGTAACATTTTCTTGCTCTCATTGAGTGTTTCTACTTGCTTCCTTGATATTATATTATTCTCCGCCCAACATAGATATGATATGTTCTTTGCACTTTTCTTACTCGAAAATAAATGTTGGAATGCGTTAATATCAATCATATTGATGTACAATGCAATTGAACGCATTATATATCAAAATATCCGCCATTTTAAAAAAATTTATCCTAACGCCAAGCCATTTACTAGCTTTTATATTAAACAACAGAATACTAAGCAAAAAAATTTAAAAAAAGTAAGAAATGTAAATAACGGTATTCTCAGATCTCTTGCGATATATAAAGCATTATTTCGGACAAAGCAAGTAACATATTTGATATAGATTTGCTTTTCAGTTAGTAACAAACAATTCTTTTATATCTTACACCACATGCATTATAAGCATGTAGTAAGTTTGTACGGATGTATACAAAACGCAGCAGATCTGCAGATCTAAAATACTGATCGATTCACAATAACCTTCTGAAACGATTAAAGCTTGTCCATCCGTCTACCCGCGTAATTTTCTTGTGTCGATCCATAGGCCATAATTTTTAATAAAGTATAGTATAAGGAAGTGCTTTGTCCGAAAGATGCAATTGATGCAATTTGTTCGAATCGGACCACTTTTTCGATTCATATTTTCCATCCTTCGCAGCTTTTTTTTTAAAATCCTTACATGAATAACTGTAGGTTGTTGCACGCACGGTATTCAATAGTGAGCTCTGACCCACTATAGAATTTTCACTCGTTTGGTTTTAACTTGCGTAGAATAGTTTAATACGCTGAGTAAAACTATTTTGAATATAAGAAACTACATTAGAAGACAGCCAACTGTGTTTGTGTTTGTTACACCCCACATTCTTCACTGCTCATTTTTTACTTAGCACTTGTTTTATACTCATTTAGGGATTTTTTAAATAAAACAAAAAAATTATTTTTTTTAATTATTTCAGCTTAACATGTTTCGCAAGTCAGTCCCTCTTTGCGCTGTTTACATTCTGGCGTTTACATATAATTTCGAGGAATTTCTTCTGAGTTGTGTCTAGCGACCCTTAAATCGATATTAAAACAACATTTGTTCTTAAGGTAACTATTCGAAAAAGCTGTAAACATCGTTCTCTTAAAAAACTTTTTGCGATTTAATTAAGTCTTTTGAAACGGCTGCAAAACTCCGACGCAATCAAAAAATGAATTAATTTAATGCAGTTAGTGTTTACTGGAAACTTGAGAAAACAAGAAATTAAAAAGTTGAACATACATATTAATAAATAAAGCCTGTTTACGAGATCAAGCTAATTAAGAGAGACAGTGCGGCAGGATCAGTTTACCAGTTCAACAGTTACAGAATGCAATTTATCTTGAAATTTTGCGAAATAATAGTTTTCACCCAGTCGTGATTTACATTGTGGTTTTCTTTGCTACCGGCCTCATTACGTTAATCTCCTCACACGACTTACCATCAGCCCTTATTCCAACCTTTATACCCCTACCGCAAAAAACTACTCTGTATAATTTTATCGTGTCTATCTCAACTGACCAATGACTAAAAAAAAAAGAGACATACGAAATACGTTAAGTCCCTGGATTAATAGAACTCTGCGGCACTGAGAGAGTGAGGTACTTTGTATATGGAAGAAGCCCTTTCTATGCCTGCCACTTCTACCGCTCTCACTACACATTTCGCTAACCTTCGATAGGCTTTCTCTATTTCTCGCGATTTTTCAACCGATCGTGCATGCGATTCTAGCAAACGTCCGGGTAACAGTTCGTCGGAAATATCTTCACGGCTCCGGAAGTTATAGATGAAAATATTAAAAATTCGAGTTTCTTTTTCAAGGTGATCGCAGTTTCTTCTATACCTTCTTCTATACTCATATGGACAGTCATCTTTTAATGTTCGGTATCGCAATGGATCAAGAAATTTTGTAAAAAATTTCCACTTCATTTAATCATTTTTGCGAATGTAGCAATTCCTTACATATGAGTCAAACTGACCCACTTTGAAAAAGGTGTATATCACTAACATCCCCAAAACTAGACGAGTTAGGGAAAAAATCGCTTGTAGATCTTTAAAAATCTTTTCTTGTTCACAAAAGTTTTAAATCCTTTATAACAAGTTCTCTGATATTTAAAAGAGATCAAATTGACCCATGCGGTAGTTTCGGCTTTAATAATATCATATCTAGCTGTGAATAATAAGACAAGGAGCATAAATTCCATAAATTTCCATTGCACTGAAAAATTTGTATGGAGAGAAATGACGATCGAGAGGACGATCGAGAAAAAGAGAAAGGAACGCTTTTAGTGATCAGCTCTTACAATATTGACATGCTTTTTGCGCTTGCGAAGCACTCCCTCTAAGAATCACAGACCAGTTATCCCTAGCGTATTGAATGTACAGAATGCTATATTAGGATATATAAGGTGCTCGTTGGAGAAAGACAAGTGCATCGTGGTAGGAGATGGCATGCATTAAGACGAAGAAGAAGGAGATACGCACAAGAACAAACTAAACGATTTAGCCGTCATACGTCCAAACACATTTAATTAATGATGGACTCATTAGGCCAACGATTATCTTAAGATTGTTGGCTTGTGCTTCCGGCACCGGCGGAAGTCCACTATTTAGCAGCTGTAACGCAATACCTGTTAAAGTAAATGTGATCCTTAATGAGCAAACGCTTTTAAATGGTAGCCAAGATATAATGCTGATTAGCTTTTAGTGCTTTGCATTATTTACTCAAACAACGAGTTTCTAACGCAACACATCTAATAGCAAATTTTTCGATAAGAAACCCTACACTTGTAAGAATCTCGTCCGTCGCACAGCCTATCAAACAATGTTAGGCATTGTAGCAAAGCGAACCTATGTCGATTATTGCAAGAGGATGATTGTAAGCCGTTGAAGATTCAATTGCCACTTTTTGCTTATAAGCGTTGCATTATAAGCGTAGCTTGTTTATTTCCTTAGTCATACTTACCATTATTATGGATGACTTTGATTGATCCGTAATTAATTCAAAAATTCAATTTAATTTAATTGAAATGCATTTTTTTTTTTTTTTTTTTTTTTTTTTATTCAGAAAAAGAAAATGAATGTACTTTTTTATATACATATATATACTAACGAAATTGCAAATTTCATATATAAATAATAAAAAATAAATGCACACAAATGCGAATGCAGTAATGAATGATTTATTCGCTTTCGCCTATGCGTGTGCGCGTTCTGTACACAATAAAAAATAACCGGAATTAATCAACTAAGTCTACACAGACCTTTATGCTATGTATTTATGTATATAATGTAATCAAATATCTAAAATTGATGATGTATCGTCTGAACAGATACAATTGTATATACATAATTTATTGTCTGTCATTTTTTAAATTAACTTTACTTTAAAGAATGGGGCGGAAGAATTTTTTTAATTCATATCATTTAAACGAAATTTAAATAAATTGAAAGAAGTACCAGAATTTATAACAGTTACTCATATTATTAAAATGTTTGAATATTATATAGTACATCATAGGGATGTCTGCGTCAATGCTTAAGTATGCATATAAATACGATTGTAATATGTGATTACTTACTATTCTTTACTATGACGAGTTTAACAATTCGTATTTCCTTACACTTAAAATCTAATTTGTTTTAAAATTTTGTTTTAAATTAAAAAAAAAATAAAAAATTTCTAATGGACCTTAAAGGAAAGAAAATAATATCTATTATTAGAGGGAAAGATACGATAAAAAATGCTATGATTTAGAGACTTTATAACATACTTAACGATTGTTTTTAAGAGAGAATAATTAAATATACATAGATATACACATATATATATATATATGTATTTTTATATGTACCTATGTGTTCATTCTATAAGCTATAAAATAATGTGTATGCATGTATATATATATATAAAAAAAAAAAAAAAACTTCTGTATAATTATATAAATAAAACCTGCTCAAATGGTTTGTTGCTGTTCTACGTGACCCTACATGAGTGATGATGCAGATGAAGACGTTATTAATGATGGTGGGTAGGACGGCCCAACTGATAATTCAAAGCTATGTTTATATACAATGCGTTGCTAATTAAGGTGTTGCTTTACGATGTAATGGATAAAGTGCCTTATAGGCTACCCCTTGGTTTTCTCTCTATCGGACAGCATTTTTCCCTTATAATCGGCTTGTCTGCATAGCAGCCCAGACCACTTGAACAGGTGTCTTTTTTTTCTTTTTTTCTTTTTTTGTTTTTTTTTATTATCACAGCCTTAAAGCACAAACGTACTCTTTCAATATAAGCATAGATCAAAGGAGAAACTTTTCCAATATTTTCTCTTCCGGTCTGTTTAATTCTTCCTTTCTTTTGCTCACTTCTCGTTTGTACTTATTTAATTGATTTCGTTTACTTATTTTCTAAGAAAATTTAAATTTTCCGTTTTTTTTTTTTTTTTTGTTCTTTTCTTTTCTTTTCTTTTTGGATTTTTCATTTGAATGATTCATTCAGTCTATCCGGCAGTATAAGCTCTGTGTCATGCTAATATTGCTGGCCGTTGCTTAAGTTTAGTTTTCATTCATTTAGTAGGCCTAAAGAAGCCATTCTTTAATATCTAAGAAGATGGGTCTATTAAACTCGTATACTCACCACTGGTGGATACGAAATATACTTGTCACTCATATTGAAGTAAGAACCGTCTGGAGGTGGCGCCGGAGAAGGCGAAGAAATGTAACTGCCCTTAATAACCAATGACGATGCTGGAGATGGTGAGGGAATATAAATGCCATTCGACATAATCATATGATCATCTTTGGAACGTGCCGATTCGGGTATGCCGTTACGGCTGCTATGTCTTTTAGGATTGGGTAGGGTACGTGTAAAGTCTGGATTGCACGCATAAGGCGGTGTGCACATTGAACTCTCCTGATATTTAGGTGGATACGAAGTGGATTGTATAATATCAACATTTTCAACCAAATAAGTGGCAGTAGGTTGTTTCTGTACATCGGCCTGCAAAGCAGAAATGGGTAACTGTTTACAGTTTAAAACATTTTAGAATATAATTCTTAGAATTCTTTAAGAAAAAAAACATATAGCAAAGCCTACCTTATACACCGACTGATTGTCCTCTTTAGAATATGCATCATCGTTGGGTGCTTCTACTTCGTTTGCATTTTTATTTTGTCGTCTAATCACAAACCAAGCTACCAAAGCAGCATTCAGTATTAATAAAACCATCGCAGCCGATGTTATACCAATTATCATAAAATTAGGCATTTCATCCTTTTCATTTAATTCTGCTGATAAAGGTGTAGATCCTAAACGAATACAAATATATTCCCGTTTAGATGGACTCTTTGATTTGCAATATTTACCTTTTGCTAAAGTTAATTTGATATCAGGCAAGAATTTGCTGCCACCCGCTTCATTAGCAGACATTACAGAAAAGACATACGTACTGCCTGCCTTTAAACCATCAATGGTGACATTTAAGCTACCCGGCTTGCCATCGATGTACTTGTATTTGTCTTCATTGTATACTTTAAACCGTAAACGATAATAAACTGGCAGGCCACCGTCAAAGCCTGGTATCCAAGACAGATCTACCCCATTTTCTGTAACATTGTTTACCAACAATTCGAGCGGAGTGTCTGGCCGCATAGGCTTAGAAAACTCCAACGTGGTACTAGCTTGACCATGTGCATTACGTGCCATACATTCATATTGGCCATAATCGTCATTTGACGTGTTTTCTATAACCAAAGTTGACTCATAGGTAAAGGCATCCAATCTACGATCTATAGCTTTGAATTTATTTCGGCGCATCTTTAAATCCTTGCCCTGACGGCGCCAAATAAAATTAGGTTGAGGTGCTGCCAAAGCTCTACAAGTCAATCGTGTCCGTTCACCTAAACGTCCGGCGAATCGGGTATACGACGGAGAGTGATCAAGTTCGGGGGCGGCTGCAAAAAGACACAAATTCAACCTATCTTTCATGGCTTTTTAATCTTCAGCTTACATTGGACTATAAGTAAGACCTCTTTCTGTGCCGGCGGACCTCTTCGGTTATTCACTACACAAGTAAAGTTGCCAATATCTGATTTTTGAACATTGCTTATGTGCAAATACGACGTTCCATTGTCGTAAGTGGTGGTAGTCCGACCATTCAAGTCATAGCCACTTCGCAGCCAAGTGACATGTTCGGAGGACAAAGGTCGAGCCATAATACTGCAAGCTAGAACTGCATCTTCGCCAGGCACGAAACTTGCACCCTCAGACACTGATTCTATATGAGGGGGATCTGCAAAAACACATCTCCATTTGATGGACAGTTGACATCGAATATCCGTTTTATACTTACATTCCACAACTAGCTGTACTTCCATGATGGTAGTGCCTTGGGAATTCATGGCTTCACAAATATAACTGCCGGCATCATTTCGCGATATTCTACTTATATTAAGGACGGGCCCATCAGATGAAATACGTTGGCCTTGAATACCATTAGATAGAATAGGTAAACCATCTTTAGTCCACGTATAAGTCATAGCCATAGGATTTCCCGAAGCATGTAATTCTATATGCAAAGGTTCGCCTTCAATTCCCACATAAGTATTGGTTTGAGTGTTATCGAATTTCGGGGGATCTAAAAACAAAATATTTATCAGTTTCATAAGTATTGGCTGGCATTGCATGTAAGTGGGAACCTACATAAAATATCCAAGCTAATGGTTTCATGAACACTGCGCTGCAAGATTTCATTATTGCTCTGGCAAGTGTATACTATACCGTCCAAATCTTGAGTTATGTTCACATATATTTCCAAGGTGGTTACGGAACCACCCCATAATCCTGGCTTATTCGAAAGATTTACCCCTTCCACCGGTATACCATCCTTCCACCAAGACACCTTGGCTGGGGGATTGCTTGAACTAGAGTCACAAATCAACTTGGCTCTTGTACCAGGAACCAAATTTTTCGGCTCTACTGTGATTTTAACTGTCTCCGGAGGAACTATTAAATTACGAAAAAGAAAAAACTAAGACTAAGATTCTCAGTGTCCATAACCGTCATTGTTCAACTTACAATGTATGCTTAACGTTTTTGTAGCAAACAATGGTATCTCAATAGCTGAACTTTGTATCTCACATTTGTAAATGGCGTTATTGTCTGACGCATTAACCAGTATAGTAAGCTCCGAGGTTATTTTAGAATCTTGCACTTTAGACATTGTATTCAATTTTTTGTCATTCTTATACCAAGTTAAATTTGGTGGAGGATTGCCACCCAACGAAGAGCATTGCAACTTTTTAACTGAACCCGAAATGATGACATCACCGTCATTATAGCCCGTCAATAAGGGTGGCGATGGGGGATCTTAAATTAGTTAAGAAAACCAAAAGGGGGAAAATTGACATACTTTGACGTCAGCATATCTTTTATGCGAAATAACTTACATAGCACATGCACACTATGCGAACCAACAATATTTTGCGTTAATTCTACATTAAGAGCATGACAAACAGCCACAAACGTACGACTATTTGTATCTATGTTTATGGAAACGTTCGACGAACTAATCCAACCGCCGCCAGTTGCTGAACGCAATGTTTTATATGTGTTGTTACCTAACGGGCGACCATTTAAAGACCAGCTAATGCGTGCTGCTGGATTAGACGGTGCCGTAAGACAAGTTAACTGCACTACATCGCCCACTTTAGCCTCCGTGGCTCCATTTATAGTGACTTCCTTGGGGGCAACTATGAAAGAGAACAGAATTAAAAGGAAAATAACAATTAAGTACCAAGCTATAACTTGAGACATTTTATTTGCGGTGCAATAAAACTAAGACTGAAAAGGAGGAGAGAATATTCTTATTCCTTGCAACTTACATAAAACAGTTAAATTAACTTCAGTCTTAAAGGCAGTGTTAGAGAGTATATTTTTAGCTTCGCAAACTAAATTCGCACCGTCATCTTGTTCTTCAGCTACAAAACTGTAAACATTCTCCGACAGACGACCTGAAGTTCTGTAAATAAATAAATTTAAAAGGTATAAATAAAAGCAAAGAAACAACCCTTGAAAATATTGTAACTTACCGTTGAGGTGAACTAATAGGTAACCCATTCTTATACCAAATTAATTGAGCGGGAGGATTGCCACCCCTACTGCGGCATGAAATTTTTACATTTTGTCCTCGTCTTAATGTCTCCCCTTGACTGTAGCCCTCAAAAAATGGTGTACCAGGAGGATCTATATATACGTATATGGCAAGGTCGCAATAAATTAACCTGATGGTATATATGTTTGCCCAATTACTTACACAAAACCGATAGTTGTACTGTAGAACGCATGGGTACATCGGGTGGTAAGGCCTTGTGTTTGGCTTCGCATGAAAAGTCTTTATAATCATCATCGGCAGTCGGTTGTAAAGTTATAGTAGAAATTGTAGTAAAACGTTTCGCAGATGTTTCGGTCACCTCAACACGTGCTTGAACTAAGCGTATGTCACTGTCAAAGCAATATTCTTTAAAAGCTTAAATGTTAATTTACTTACTTGCAACTAAAGGTGTGTTGTCGCGATTCCAAAGTAATTCAGCTGCAGGATTAGCATTCTGTGCAATGCATTTAAGCGTCAAATTTTGTTTTTCTATTATTTCGACTTTGGCATTTTGCGCGTAACCATCAATAGCTATAGAACTAGGAGCAGCGACTATGCTTAACTTGGCGTTGGCTCGAATAGCAGGATTGCCTGCAGCTGGTCCCACTTGACACTGATATTCCGCATCGTCTTCAAGTGAAGCATTTTTAATTTGCAAATTGTAGATACCGTTCGCAGCATCCACCAGAACCGAGTATCGGGGGAAGCCATGTATAACCGCGGAAAAGCCCAAAGCAAAACCATCTTTTGTCCACTGAACCTGACCGGCACGATTTGCGACCTCACAGCGTAATAGCGTGTCGGTGCCTTCCAGTATTTGCAAATCGTGCGGAGTCACACGAAATTTCTGCACTGGAGGAGATTGCGAAGCACATAAGCTAAAGCCTAAAATGAAATGAAAAATAATCAAATGCGATGATCAACACCTTAGGCGTTACAGCGCCTACTTAAGATTATATGAATCTTACTTTAATTTTCAGTGAAATAATTTACACACTTTTCACAAGTAACATTGTTCGTTATTAAAGGCCTTGAGGGACAGTGATGATGCCAACAATAAAAGATGAGAAACAGTAAGACTTCATTTCATGCAGACGACGATTGCATTAAGTCTGATCAAAGGCAACTAAAGCGCAAATTTGAAACAAGTTTATCTTTCAACTGAAAACTACCGAAGGTCGCGTATTTAGAAAAGGTAATGAAGAGAATTATTAGGGTTTGGAAATTTTTTTTTTCAAAATTTTCTCTTTCAGCTTGGCAAGGAATTAGATATCGCTACAATGTGGATGCTATAGGCATAAAATATCTTCTGTTTCGGTGTCGAAACCCAATCGAAAGTCTGTTCTCGCTATTTCCTTTAACATAAAAGGAAATCAATGCACACCTGGATTGAGTAGAAGCTGGTCCATGTTTCGAAAGTTGATCTTGCGTGTTTAAAATGCCAGTTACTCGGACCTATGGGCGGGACACATCTGCTTGTCATACAGGAACATTCATCTCACCTTAAGCAGAGTAAATACATACTAAGGAGAACTAATCGTTTTACAACTCTTTCAGCGATCAATGCAAATAATGGAGACTTTCGAAAAAGACATGGCTTTCATTCTCCTATTTTTGAGTCTATAGAAGCTCTTTCTAAAACATGATGTGATTTTCGCCAGGTGTGAAGAAATCACTTTCAAAAAGCGGTCCCGTTCAAGTTAGTTTTTTCAAGCGACTTAAATAGCTTAAGCCTTTCTTGCCATTCAGCCAGTCTTAGAGTGGAAACTTCAAATCTCGCACTAAGTCGCACAACATTCAAGCTTTCTTCTCAAATCTTAAAGAGCGTTAATATTTCCTGATCTCACAAGTGCTTTTGGACTAACTCCCTTACGTCTCTATGCTTACATTACAAAATCCCGCACTATTCCTTAATTGATATAAATACTAGAAGATAACCGGTCAGAGCAAATATTTAAGGAACCTCAAGTAACTAAAAATATCGATAAAGGAAATCGCTTGCTCCCTGCTTACTTAAACTTGCCTGCAGGATAAGCTTTATCTCGAAATGGAAATTAATGCAATAACAAAACAAAAACAAAAAATGAATGCCTAATATAAAGATGGAACTAAATATAAGTTCTATGAATTATTCAAATGAACATATGTACGCATACCTAGGTACATAAAAATGACATTTTATCACACTTAAGTATTAATTTGCCTGAAAACAAAGTACAGCAAAAACCAGTTTACTTACTGTCCACATGCCGTCAAACTCCTTCAAGTGTGACCATATACGAATATGTATGCATGTGCATACATATGAAACGTAAATACGAAAACGTAAGCTCTAAATAAGAACCAACAGAAAATTGAAAGAAGGGAAGAATACACTTAACTGGTTTCCTCTTCAATTCGATTCATTTCATTCATACATTAGTTGAAGCCATGTGCTTTATAAATAGCCTTTACCATAAAATCTGCACACAAATACATACTTATAACCATCCTTATGTCAGTATAGATATCGATGTGTGCCTTCAAATATGAGACAGCTAACAACTAACTACCACTATACGAAGATCAAGCAACCACAATTGTCCTTTATTGAACGTCATTAGCCACAAGAAACTCATATCGGAAGCCACAAGTTAAGTGAATACATTACAGTGCAGTGCAACACAGGTCAAATACAGGGTAAGAATTATATATCGAAAAACTTATGCCAGAGAATAAACATTTTGAAATTTGTTCTAGTTTCGTTTAAGAAAAACAAAAAAAACAAAAAGAACGAAAAACTATTTGCCAAACTCTCTGCTAAGTCATGTGGGTACACTTGCAGCTATAGAGATAGCATATGAAAAGTGAAAATGTCAAACTAGAAGAACATTTTTAGTCGGTCATAAAAAGCAAGTACAGCGCACAGGCATACGAAATGAAAATTTACGTAGACCTCCTTGGCAATAAAGGAAGCTTTACTTTTACTTACATACGCACATTCATGTCAATACCTTAAACAAACAAACAATTTTCTAAAGATCAAAAAAAAAAAAAGAGAAAAGAAAAAAATGCGAAACGAGTAAGAAAAACATAAAAAAAAAAAAAAAAAAAAAAAAAAAAAAACAAAAGGAAAGAAGGGCAAAAAAAGAAATAAAGGCATAAAAGAAAAAATAAAACTGGTTGTACATATGAATGAGTGAATGAACGACTGAATGAATGGTTAGTTGACCGAGTAGATGTTTGATAATGACACAACGGATGTCGCACTAATGGTCACTTTCATTTTATGAATATACACTTTTTGTTTTTTTGTTTTTTTTTTTTTTGCTTTTTTTTTTATATATATATACAGACAACAAACACATCTTAATAAACTTTCAAATATGTTTACATGTGCTTATGTGCGTTTATTTGTATATGTATATGTATATATGTAAGAATGCATTAACCGAACCGAACAATATCAAAAACGAACACGTACTAAATATTAACAGAAACTTAGTTAATGACTAAATGCTTTCATATATATTCATTGGGTAGAAGATGTGAACACAAAAAAAATAAAAAATGCCATCTCATCATTTTCTTTACGCAAGAGAGCTTAAGAACGATAGGTGCCCTTACCCACGTTTACTACTACTTATGTGGACATATATGTTTAATTCAGGTTTCATTAATAATGCAACAAAAAAAAAATAAAAAATAAAAAATAAAAAATAAAAAATAAATAACATAAATAAAAAACGAAACTATCAAATCTGCGGCTTTTTGAGAGGTAAGAATGACTGCGTTGTTATACAAACACAGCCTCAAGCTCGCATAAGCAATTGAATAGAGTAAAAAACCAATCAAAAAAAAAAAAAAAAACAAAAACACGAAAAACAGCAAAATTAACTTAAACTTGGTTAAGCTCTATGTGGCGGTTGCTCGCGCGCACGTATCCATCTAGTGCATAAATGTTGTATAAATTATACAGCATTTGCAGCAGCATTAAAAAACCAGTAACAACTTTAATAATATCAACAAATCGTAGAGAAACTAGTTTGACGCATCAACACCGGATATCCGGTCAATTCGGTTTTGACTAACGAAGGATTCGAATAGGTAGGCAAAAGCGAAAATTTAAATCAATTCGTCATTTGGTCTCGCTCGTCTTTCCTTATTATATATAATCGACACTCGACTGAAATTAGAAAAGATCAAGCAAGAAGATAAATGACTCCGTACGTACGTACGTACTCAGATGAATACATATATGTATATTTGCGATCCATATATGTATATTTAACGGTGACATTATTGTCAGAATAGCGAAATTGTTTTCTTGACAACCCAATACTAGAAGACTTAATAGAAGCTTACACACTTACGCTACGCACACAGGTATTGATAAAATTTAATTAAGCAAGCGCGACATTTTTTTATATATATATATATGCATACTTTTATGTATGCATAAAGGCATACTTGTATGAAACATTTGTTACGCATAGATTTATGCTTATGTCCATGGGTGTGCGTGTGTTTGTAGTTTATTAAAATTTTTTAAAACTTTTTAAACCCTTCGACGATCAATGAAATGGACCGAAACTTTTAATTAGATTAAATGAATTAAATTAACAAAAATTATTTAAATTTGAAAAAAACAAAAAAATGTTCCCAAGTTAACTTTAACCCTAGCTATCAATTGTGGTCTGTTACAACATTATTAATTCATTTAGGCGATATTCCCCTTTGTCTTATTTTCCATTTATTTTCTTCGTTATACAAACAGTCAATAATAAAAACGCTTACAACTCTTTGCCAGCATATGCTTTTAGATGAAACTTTGATCTTTAAATTATCGCATTCGTTCTTGTGACGCATGCAACCCTACTCGAGACAATTATTAAATTAAATTTTTGTTATTTCGTATTTTCGTATTTTTGGATTTTCGTGTTTTTATCAAAGGCTTTGTAATCGTATGCAAAGATGCTGTTATTAATTGTTCGAGGCAATTCTGTGGCAAATCCCTTTTCACATACTTTTCATCTTAATGTATCTAAATATTTAATATACTGATAAGCATATTTAAAGAGAAATCGATATTAATAATGGAAAATAATTTAAAAATTCTTCTCATAAATCTTTGGAAACTTAAATCTTTTTAAATTAACTGAAATAATTACTTAAGCTAACAAAGAGATTGCACCGCATCAGTAACAATGAATGACAACTCCCAACCTTCATGTGAAAGAATTAAAATTCGTCTTTTGAATAAATAGATTAATTAAAACATTTGAAGACACGACCTGCATTTCAAAAGTCCAGCACCCAGATATGTACCTAAAACAATGATAAAAAATATTTTAGCCGAAATATTGCTCGCTGCTAGCTATAAATTTTGAAAATTTTGTCTGTCCATACGTCAATTAGTCGTTTGTTTAAAACAAACCAGTCAGTCATCAGGCCCTTTCCCTACGATTTCGTAAGCATTGATGCGGTGCAAAGCAAATTCGTGTTCCACTACTGATCCAAACAAGTGACTATGGCAAAGATATGCTTTAGTGAGTAAAACGCATTGACTAGCAATCATTAGTTGAATGCTTCCAACCTATCACTAACTGCTGTAAGGATGGGTGAACGAATGTCAAGCAAAAATAAAATCTTGTATTGCCTTAGTTCATATATCTTCCGTTTTTTCAACTGTAAATGATTCAGGTCAATTAATTGCTTTCAGTAGCATTTCGTAATAACCACTGGACCAGACTTTAACAGCTGATAATAAACCATACACTTCTGGTCTCGTCAAACGCAGAATATTGTCTTTCGGTCAAAGCAATTCAGTTTCGCGGTCGATGTGAGCGGTGTGCCTGGATCCACGTACCGATTTTTGAACCTGGGATTCCCAAAATAAATCCAAA